ACAGTGACAGTTAGAATAAACCTGCACAGCAACACTTATTGAGAGTATTTTTCCATGTTTAATGACTTACCTTGTAAACTTCACTAAAGCCTCCTCTGCCTAGAAGATGCAGGAGCAGGTATCTTTCATTCAACGTTGGGTGATCTTTAAATCTTTAGATTGGAGAAAAAATAATAATAATAAGGGAGGGAGGAGTAAAATTAAAATTTGGACCTATATGTGAATCACAAATTAATAAAAAATTAGCTTTGCTAGATCAATTTATTTTAGGTTCAGTACTACAAAGACGAGCAAAAAGTCACATTATGCTGCTTATTAAAAACTTAACGGCAAGTCTTGCATAACAGTTTAAAGTGTCAAATTTCAGCTGCAAATACTGCACAGATAAATAATTTCACCCAGCTTCTGCAACGTTTTAAGAGGTCATTTTTCTGACTACAGGTGTAATCATGAACTGCTGCACATGACGGTTTACAGTAGAGTTCAGCGAGTGAGATAAAGGAGCAGCATACTGCATTATAGCTGATATACAGACATGAATAAATGAGGGGGGAAAAAACAAAGAAATTCTGTTGCTTCTAGCACCTTCTCATTTTAGCTATGGCCGTCTGTGTAAGACAAGTAAGATGTTTTGGTTATAAAAGTCCAAATTTTAGCTGCTCAAACACTGTTTAGATGTTAACGTGCAGATTTTATGAAAACATTTCAGTCACATTTCAAAATCCAATCACTCTCAAAAGAAGCAAAAAATAAATACGTGATAATCCCTTTATTTTTATATAGCAAGTTCTTCAGTAAAGTGCAGGCAAGCACACAATATAAGGAGAGAGAAATCTGATGTGATCAATAAACCGAAGCACAAAACAGCAACCTCTTTTTTAATTTTCGGTCTCAAAGCTCCTATAATTTTTAATTTCACTTTTAACGCAGCTGTAGTCTGTGTGAATACAATCAGCATTAATGTAATACTGCCAACCATATTTAGCAGCTTGATGTGCCAACGACAGGACATTTGCTATTACTCTAAGGACATTGCAAATACAAGTAATCCACTGGGTCTTCATTCCCCCCGGATACTGGAGTACATAAAGACTTATGGGCTGCAGGAGCAAACACAGAACAGACATTTTGTTCAGTTTGCTCATAGCTAATGCATCTCTGAGTTAGCAGACATGGCTCTAGCAGGGAAATAATGGCAGACTGTGAGCTGTTCATTCAGAATTCAAGAGGATGAATCCGTTTGCCAGCTGGGGTGGGGTGGGGGGGTGGCGTTAACCCATTCTGACACCACAATAGTCTATAAATCAGAACAGCAAGTTCAGACACACTGAATGTGACAGAGAAAGGAACAGACAAAAAGAGATGGGCTTCCCCCCCTCATTTTGTGGGTCTCACAACACACTGGAGACAAGACGTAATGTTGAAAAACGACGAGAAGCTTAATATCACATAATACAACCCTTTATTATTCGACTGTGGACGAGGACTGTAGCCTTGCTTGTACATCGTGTTCCAATGTCAATGCAGCAAATGTCAAGGAAAGTGATTTAGACTCACTGTGAGCTGTCTTCGTTATTTATTCTCTTCAGTTCCCGAATGTGAAGGTTGCGCACTCTCTCCAGACGCTCGAGCTCTGCCTGGATCTCAGCTTCTTCCTATAAATGATTCAAACACACAAACACACAAATGCACAGAAGGAACTTCAGAGCACTGACTACAAGGAGAGTTCATCAAAACCCACTCATACACATGACGAGCTCGCAATTAAATATTAACATCTGACTTGGTGCAGAGTCCGTTAGGGCTTTTCAGTGAAGCTTTTTTCCCATGAAAACAATAAGTAAATTGACCTTACATTCTTTGCACAATCTTTACTAATGGAACAGGATTTTCAATCAGGAAACTGAGGAAAAAGGTGGAAGAGATAAATGCAGAAAGTTTGGCCACAAGCTAAAATCTAAATACATGAACAGATTTAAAAAGTCAAAGTTACAGTTCTTTATTGTTATTTTAAATAGCATTAGCATTTTTTACCCCTTCTACAAAGACGTCGGTCATTGCAATTTCTAAGGCTTGTTTACAACCACTGGGAAAGGTCAGGTGATGCAAATTTCAAAGGTTTATGAATATACCAAGTCAACCTTCAGCCCAAAAATATGCAGCCATAGCCCAAAAAGTAGGAGAAGGCTATGCCTCTGCTGTACAGCCACATCTGCTCAAATTGGATGTTCATGGAAGGCTCGGTACAGTTGGCCACATTGAGAGGTGCACGCTAACAGTTATGCCTCGGCCCCACGCAGTTCCCCTGCCTAAACCTCATCAAAAATCTGTAGTCATACCTAAAAAGAGCAGTGAATGCAAGATAGCCCAAGAATCTGACAAAACTAGAACCCTTTTGCAGGAAGAAGGAAACAAGTTCCTCAAACAAGTATTTAGGTGGCTTTTAAAAGTAACCACTCTCACCAAAGGGGGTGTTACTAAGCAATAAGGGCCATACGTTTAAGTGTATAGCACTCAAAAAGGAAGACATCGGACCTAAAACCCAGCACTGCAATGTTCAATTTTTCTATTTTTGGCCTTTTGTCATACATTTTATTCCATTATAATCTACATTTTTATTAATATTTTATCTTTTTTAATTGATTCATCCTACTTTTAGGCCATTAATGTTTTGTCTGTTTAAATTTCTTACTGTTGCATATTTATTTTGTTCTTTTACTTTGTCAATTATCTGTCAGGCACTCTGAACTATATTAACTTGATTGAACAATCAAACAAAACGTCACAATTCTGTTTACCAGGCTTCATATTTCCACAAACCTTTTTCAGATGTCCAAGTCGCAGTTTGAAGATCTCTTCCTGTTCATGGTACTCTGCTAATGTCAGCCTTTCAAGGATAAGAAAGCATATAGAAACAAAGCATGAGCCTAATTTAACAGTGCGTCTTAAGTTTAACACTTTCAGTTAATACTGTGCTACATGCTGTTAAAATCTGCTTTCCTGGTAAACATGAGGTAATAAAGCAAAACACGGGGGAGGAAAAGGATCCTACACAAGGGTGTGGACTTACAGCTGAGGTAGGCTGGGTTTTAGAAAGGGATCGTTTTCTGCTCCATTCACCGCCTTGGTTTTCCGTTGCTTTGGCTCAGAGTTTGTGGTTGGTGTTTGGGAGTTGTTGGAAGATGGAGGTTTCCTCTTGGCAAGAAGTTTCCTCTGCCTCTCAATGTCTTCTCTCTGTTGGTTTATCCACTCCTGCTGCCTGCCGAAGGACATATTAAAGCTGTTAATTTTAGAGGTACAACTACATTTTAGAATTTTCAACTTGAATCTGACGATGGAAATACTGCAGATGAAGGCTGCAATGCAAAACTCAGTGAAATTATACTAAAAATACTAAGTCTGTTTTGACAACATGAGGTTAAATCTACTCTTAAGCGAATAATGTTAAGAAGTGACGTGGCAGCTGTCCTAGGAAATGAAGCCCTGGAGCTGAGCTTACAACCCCCAACCTTTCAGTAGCAGGGGAATTAAATGTGCATGTAATGTGCAGCTTTAAGGTGTGCGTGGAGAGCTAAACTTAAAATATGCAAAGCTTAATAAATAAATGGGAGACAAACAATTTAAAAGCTTCTCACTTGACAAGGTTTTGGAAGGCATAGCCATCTGTCCACTGCTCTGTGAATGAGGCCCCATGTCTCACTGTAGTAAAGTGGCCTAAACGTAGTCTATCCTGCATGCTCTTCTCCCGACAGGCCTGCTTCTCCTGGGTGCTCTGAACAACAACAACATAAAATACAGCATGCAGGTTCACAGCCACACAAACATTCCTGATTTTAATAACGCAGGCTACAGAAAAAAAACACTTGTTTACCTTTTCTATAAGTAACTTCTTGCTCATGGTGATGCACTTATTCAAGCGTTCCTTGTATTTCTCAAGTAACTTTTGCTGTTCATCTATCTGTCTCCTGAGATCACAGTTTGCCTGTGAAGCAGAAAATGACACTGGATAAGCAGACATAGAAACAAAATGCTTTACTAAACACATTTACTATAAAACTGAACTCTGGGAAGTTTTATCCACCTTGTTTTTAAACTAGTTCAGTCAATAAAACAGTAAGATGTCCCTCTTACCCTTAACAGGTCATCTATCCTGCCCTCCTTCTTCTCAAGGTCTAGATTCTTGGTGCTTTCAAGGGCAGCCAATTTTAACACTGTCAGGTCAGTCTGGAGTGAAAAACAAAAGGAGTTAAACACTTGTCATATCAAACATGTTTTAAGAGTGAATACAGGAAGGCTTTGGTTACAACCTCCTCACCTGAACAAATTTGACTGCTAGTTGCTTTGGATGTGCCATATGGTCCCCAAAAGACAGACTAGTAGGAGATGAGCTATTTTGTCTAACCTAGAACACAGAGAGTGATGATATTTTATTTAAAAACAGGTCAACACTATGGTGAGCTACAAAAGAGTTATTTTGTTATTATCACAGCTTACAGAAGTGCCCTGAGTCGAGTGGGAATGTGAATTCTGGGGCGAACGAATCACTGGAGGGGGACCTCTCACAGGACTGGACCCATTTCCTCCCTGGAACTACAAGATGAAAAGAGAGGATAAGTAGCACCGCTGCCTAAGATCTGGTAACAGCAGACAGCCAGTGGGTCCTTTTATTTTACTGTAATGTGGTTACAGACAGGAAATGGATTACGCCTCAGATCTTCAACAGGCTGATATAGCACACATTATTTTCTAAGCACTATATATATTCATCTATAGTGCCATGAAGTATACTGTTCATACTTCATATATGAAATATCTGACACAAAACTTACATCGAAATAATCACTTATTTTGGGTCCCCGCACAGTTGATTTTCCTAAAATCAAGAGAAAGCAGGGATGAGTGTTGTGATTTATCAAACATATTTTATTAGAATAACACAAATAACAGGAGTAAAATAATTATAACCGGTATAACCGAACAACACTTACCTTGGCTGCTCTCTGACTGGATCTCAGGTTTCCTTTTTCTGCCTCTAGTTGTTTCAGTCTGTTTCTTCTCTGGGGTCTGAAACATTAAATTTAATTTGGTATAATTTTACAGTATGATTACTGCACAACGGACACTCTGAACCTGAACTGCTGCTGTATTCTCTATATAGTGACAGCTTTGTTTCCAATGGGTATTTATAGATATTCATGCTTTATATACAGAATAAGTAAAATTACAATAGATGTTTGGAGCTGTAACGGCCTTTTTTTAAGTCCCCAATAGTCCAGGTTAACAACAGTCAAGAAATGCAACAAGTTCTGGAATAATAAAAGTACTTTCCTAATATCTGAAAAATATTTCCATTATAAATATTGGTCTTTTGAAAAATATAAATAAATAGCATTGTTTCGGTCATGTTGAACCTAGAGGGATCACTGCAAACACCAGTGTTGACCAGACAAATCTCCAGCCTTTAAATGCAAAATATTCATTTTCAGATCTGATAAATTACCCACCGAATAAGCAGGAGAGCTCCCTCTTTTCACATCAGACCCCTATAATGACAAGAAAGGAAAGCTTTAGACCAAAACTTATTACCCATGGATAATAAGTGACCAGACTAACAGTGAAGAGCATTTATTGCAAGTGTACTTCATTATTAAATGAAATCTTTATTTAAAAAATTATTAATTAATAGTATAAAATAACCACCAGTATGCAAGTAAATGACAGTTCAAGACTACATTAAAAATATATTGTTTAATTTAACAATATTGATACAGGAAATATTGGTATCATTTCCAGAATAAAGGTTATATAATAATGGAATGCTTAAGATTAGCGTGCAAAGGACACAAACACTTGTGTCAAGCATGATTAATCTATACAGTGTAAATGTGATCAGAGTAGCTCCCACATAGGATTAAAGATATTTACCTCCGACTCCTTGTCACTTGAAGATCCTAGACTTCCAAAACTGTGATTTGAACATTCATTATTGGTCAAGCCCTGAAATAAAGAGAGACGATTAATAACTGAGTCAACACTACAATAGGAAACACTTAAACAATAAATAAATACGTCCTCATTTCTGACTCACTTTGGTTCCCCCGCTTGCGCTGCCAGTGCTGCCCCCTGTGCTGCCACTGACTCCGCCCATAAAACGAGCCTCCAGCAGCTCCTGTCTCCGGGGGTCCAGGCTGTGCAGCTCCTCCATGGTGCCTGGGAGGATTAGCAACAAATCACAGTGTGTCTCCGTTATTCAACGATCAGCTTAATTGAACCCATTTACTGCCCACTCGAGTGGGCAAATGACACAGCAGCAGTAAGCTTATGAGCAGAGTCATGATTAATGTGACTAAAACTCTGAGAGGTGAGTGGATTTGAGTCTAGATCAGAATGTAGGCCAAGACCAAATTTCTGCCTGCTCCCTAGTGGCATCCCCAAGGCAGGTTTTGCTATATTTATTCATCAAGTACTGAATAGATAAGCTAGTTGTGATTATGGTTACACCAACTCTACAGGTAAAAGCCTAATACTTAAATAACAAAAATATTCAAAAGAACGCGTTATATTCTCCAAATGCAGAGGCCACATTCAGAAATTTTCTGTTTTGTTCTTTTCTTTAAATCATGAGAATCCAAGGGCAACGTTTCAAATGCTAGGCAATGCTGCTCACAGCGCTCCTGTGGGAATGATGCAGGAGCACCATGAGCTTTGGTGTTGCTGCAGACTCAGAGGTGCCTGCTCACTAAATCTGTGCTGTAATGAGACAACCATTTTGAAAGGTTTGGCACTGCATCCAAGCTTAGTACAGTAGGTAGGGATTTTCAAAATCCATTTAAGAGTAGGAAAGACAAGAACGCACTGAATATGTTTAAAATTATACCAGCTAGGATTATAAATGTGAACTAAAGATCGAGGATAAAAAGTCATCTTGTAGCATTCAGCGACATGAATTGTTGGAGGATATGTATTACAAACCACTGAAACCAAAATACACATTCTTTTGCTTAAAATATTTCAGCAGTGCAAGAAGAAACCTACAGAATGAAAAAAAAAAAAAAAAAAAAAAAAAAAAAAAAGAGTCTCTCTAAACGGAGTGAAAAAATAGTTACACCTCAAACGTGATTGCCCCGATTATCCCAGATAACAAATACAAATTAAACCACACACAGTTTCACATGAAAAATAAAATCTTCAATGATCTCAGGACTGAATCTGCACTTCATTTAGACCCTGAGGACTTCACATAACAGTTTGCGCACACAGCTAAACAAAAAGTAATTTATTACATCCTCTCAAACCAAACCCTGTCTCCAATTATGGTATGATTAGCAATACATCTGCAAACACAAAGCAACTTAACAAATGGGTTGTAACAGACAGAATACAGCTGGCTCGCCAAACGATACTGACATGAAGCCATTTCCCAGATAAGCACACAAAAAAAGAAGTGTGTCTAACGTAAAAAGAATCATGTGTCCTGTCATTAATTAAAATCCCTTCTTTACCAATCGGTGTCATTCACAAAAACAGCTCCAACATGCTGTTATACTTTAAGTTTCTGAAAAGTCAATAGCTACTTTTAAGAATTAACCAGGCTAGGATATTTTTACTTCCAGCATGCTATCAACACCTCCACAGAGAAGCGTCCGTTACCTTTTTTAAATAACCACCACGGTGATCGCTTTAGGCAAATTCTATCTGAAAACTTTTAACTGATGTATTTGCTATCTTCATGTGTATTCAGTAACACATTTAAACTGAAAAGAGACCTGTTATTAATGTAGTCTTCTAATTTACATTTACTAACACTATATTGTGATCGATAGTTACACTTTGTGAAGTATTTGTGGTGCTATGCATCAAGTCTAGCACCACAGAAGCCATGGAACTGTAAGCCACAATCAGCATTTGCCTCACTGAAATTTGATCAATACGTGCATAATACTGTCATATTTATGCTCTGCAAGCAAGATATAAAATAACAATGATTACACTGATGCATCTGCTTAGCTTATTATAATCACTACTTTGCCCTAACCTCTTGATTAAGACTTAATAAAAAGGTCAAACTGTCACGAATCTGATAATGTTAACTACCCTTTGCAACCACCCGATAGACCTTGTTTTTTTTACTGAGAAATACCTTATTAAAAAAATAAATAAATAAATAAAAATTAGGCAACCCGCACATTTTTCTTCCTAACATTGTCATGTTTGTGGATCTGTAATTTCCCAATTAAATTCTGCTCGAGAAATCATTTACTGCAGGTCACGTACCTAACACAGCTAACCATGTTTTTCTGCATGTGGCAGCTTTATCAATTTAAGAGCAAAAAAAATAAAATAACCTTATGGAGAATATTTGCTTTTTTCCCCCCCTATATTTGCTTTTTTCCTCTAAATAGCACTGTGAAAACTATCTGTACCAAGCAGTTTTTAAAGAGTGACTTAATTTATTAAGGGAAAGAGCGAGAGAGAAAAGAGAAAAAAAGAAAAGAAAAAAGGTATCCAAACCCTCACCATGTGTGAAAAAGTAATTGTCCACTAAACCTAATAAGCAAGAACTGCAATTGAGCATTTGTGATAACTGGCAATGAGTCTTTCACATTTATTATCTTCTTTGCAGAATTGTTTTAATTCAGCCACACAGGATGGTTTCTAGCACTGACGGCCTGTTTAAGGTCATGCCAAACCATCTCCAGACTTTCACTTTCAGGCCGCTCCAAAACCTTGATTTTATTTGTGTGTTTTGTTTTAACCCATTCAATCTGATGGTTGGACATTCCCCTTCAGGATTTTCTGGATTTCATAGTTCTATCAATTATGCCAAGTCATCCAGGTCCTGAAGCAGCCCAAAGAAATTTTTGACAAACATTAGATGAGCCTTTGTGTTCATTTTGGTGAGCAGTGATTTTCACCTTGGAGCTCTCCCATGGATGCCTTATTTGCCCAGTCGCTTTCCTGTTGTTAAATCAAATCAAACTCTGACCTTAACTGAGGCAGGTGAGGCCTGCAGTTCTTCAGATATTATTCTGGGTGCTTTTGTGACCTCCTGGATACGGTGTTGGAGTAATTTTGGTAGGTGGCCACTTCTGGGAAGGTTCACCACTGTTCCAGGTTTTCATGGCTCTGACCATGGTTTGCTGGAGTCCCAAAGCCTTAGAAATGGTTTTATAACCCTTTCCATACTGATAGATGTCAACGACTTTGTTTCTCTCCTGTTCTTGAGTGCCTTTTAGATGAGATCTTTCAGCCCAATTCATTTCGTCAGACAGGTTGTTTTTAAGCAATTTCTTGATTCAACAGGTCTGGTAGTAATCAGATATGGGTGTGGCTATCAAAATTAAACAGAACCAAAGAACCAAAGTTAAATAATAAATTAACTGTGATTAACAAACCAGGCAGATTTGGATAATTTTTTTCCCCCTTAAAAAATGTAAAACTGCATTTTGTTTTTAATTGGGTTACCTTTACCCATTTTTTTTGGGTGATTTGAAACATGTGTATTAAAATAAGCAAAAAAAAGAAGCCCTTTGATTTTACACAACACTGTATATAGTAACTAAATATCGCATGCGCCTTAATACATCGGCTTCATTTTCAACTCATTCAAATGATTAGCACCATTTTCACCTCACTACCGCTTAATTAGAAAATCTAACACATGCAGGGAATAACTGGCTTCTAGGTTCAGTGATGATTATCATTTCTGCATAAGCTCTGAAATGTCCAATGTTGTAGACGATCAACCAATACTTTTGCATTTTTATGACTTGGTTTTGCTGAGACGGATCCATAACCACATCTCCCCAAATGTTTATGCCAGTTTCACGTCATAAATACACATGAGCTGCGTATTGTTTCTCAAGGATTTGCTTTTGTTTCAAACATGAAGGCCTCAGAGCATAAATATTATCTATATTCAAGCCCCTGCGGGAGCTAGCGGTTGAACCCTTACAGCTCATGGTGTGGATGTGTTTTAACTCCATGCTGCTCAGCAGACAAGCTGACCACCTGTTTATGGCAGACATTTGGAAAGTCGTTTTAAAAAAACCCCCCAAAAAAACCCTGACATTAGATGAACAGGCCATTTCAGTCTGAGTCCATTCATTGAAAACTTGAAAACAAAATGAACAAAATAAATTATAGTCTCATTCTCATGTAGTCAGCTATTACTAATTTATGTCAATCTGTGTTTACAAAACGAAGTGGGGAGATTCATCAGTGTCCTAGGCTGGGTAAAGTCCTCCATCATTACAACAGCCAATGAAAACTAACGTCCAGGAAGCAATATTAACATTAAGTGCCAACTACAGATGTATTTTATGGCGTTATGATTGGCATGCTGCATAGCCCAGCCATAAGTTCTCCTTCAGTTTTGCTTGTCATCTCTACACAAACACTGAGTATTACTTAGAGTGAAAAGCTAAGGTCAAGCAAGGCTACCAAGCATCCAGTGCATTAGCTTTAGTTACAGACCACAAATACTTCCAGGATAAAAGCCGATGCAAGACCCCTGTGTACCGTAAAGATGACAAACAACACCACTTACACATGTAGATGATGTGGACACTGATGGAAGGAAAACAGCAGTTAACACACAAAGGATTGCTAACGATGCGATGCACACCTTTGCACTGGCTGCTGCCAATCCACTAAGCATTACTAGAATTTGCTTGATTATCTCCATTTGCACATGATTATCGGTAACCTGGCTAATGTGTGCTCTTAAACAGGCAGCATGCCTAATGGAGGATGCATCGACTACAACAGTTACATTTCTGCTCAAAACAAAGCTTAATCGCCATTGCACTCGTCTTAAGGTTACTGCACTGGCCTGGGCACAGAAAGACGGTCCTGTGTCTTCGGTGCTAGTAGCTAGCCAAACAGGCTCAATGGACTTTGGAGCTGACGCGTTAGAGTAACGTTAGCTAGCGAGCAGATTTCGCCACCAAGATTTGCTCGGTCATTTTAATAGAATTTCCCTTCTATATGCACAAAAAGAACAACACGAACAAGTAAAAAAGACGTGCGGCTTAAAATGTTTCACGATACCTTTCTGGACCTTCACCACTGCCGTGGTATGTAGCTGAAAACACAGTCCGTGTTGGGGACGTGGAGAGCTGGGACCAAAGATGGCGTCCCCTCCAAACTTCCACTACTTTGGATACTCATCAAGCTACTTTTCGTGTGTAGGTGCTGCAGCGCACATGGGTAGGCTTTAACACTGACTGAAAAACTGACCGACTGGCGTGCCCTGTGTGACTTTAGAAGGGCTCGGTGACTGCCAGTAGGTGAAAATGTCTAATTATTGTGTTTTAAGGACACAAACCTCTTCACACCTCAGTAGCGAGTCCGGGCTCCGGGCCCACCTCTCCGTCTTCAAGTGGTTGGCTATGAAACGTCACGCATCGTGTGCAAAATTCTTATCGCGAGGGCGAAACATTTCCCCCCCCCCAGCGTCAGCGACAACATACGAAAACATGACAACCATATGTTTTATTTTTACAGGTTACGATGCTCAAAGGGTCGAGACATGACTTTTAAACGAATGAAATGATCGATTTCCTTGTATTAAACTGTCCTAGCATGGCATATCAAAAAATGTCTTTTCAATAAATAAATAAACTAATTCATTTAATTAAGAATTAAAATAAATAAATACATAAAACGCTTGAAAGTTAACATAATAATTATAAAAATACTCAGATTAATAGTTAGATACAATGCAATAATTTTTATTTTCTACTCTCAGGCATAAATTAGAGTAAGGGTTAAGTTGTGATTCTGACGTCCAAAACAAAAAAGTTTCAAGAAATCAAATTAAAAAATTTTTATTCCGTCAAAATTATGATGGTAACTAAAAATTCTGAAATAGTAATTAAGAAAAAAAGCTTACTTTTGGAAGGGTTAATGGGTTGATATGGAAGCTTGTTTATGTTATTAAAAATCAACTTGTAATTCAAAACTCCGAGTTAATATTTTGACATTTTTAGTTATCTCAAACTTTTGAGTAAAGTATCTTGACATTTCCAGTTAGTCAGAAGTAAGGCAAAACTTTTAGATACTTAGTAAGTTGAAATTTTGAGATAATAACTTGAAATTTTAACTTAGCTCCCCCTCACATTTTTTCTCCACTGCTGGTAAATAAATTCCATATATTTGATCATAAATTTGAGTATTTCAGTTTAGTAACGATTACATGCTTTAAAACAATTTCTTTCTTGCTAATTTTAACCACTACTAATATGCAAACTAAGACATTAGAAGGGACAAATACTTCTTCACAGCACTGCTGATAGCTAGCTTGCCAGATTTTATTGTTACAAAAGAACAAAAAAAATCAAAATAGCATAATCTACAAAAAATAAAACAATATTAAAAGTACCATAGACCAATACTGAAGGCTTTAATATGTAAAGCAGTGCAAAAAATTTGAAATCGGATAATTAAGTTAATGTAAAGAAAAAAGATAAAAGACTGAGATCATGCAAAAGCAAATTGTAGCAAACAGTGGTGGAAATGACATAACAAATAACATGTGCACTGTACACTTAAGAAACAGCAGCAAGGAGGTTTGGAACAGAAATATGCATGTAATCATGTGTCCTGGTGTGCGTCGGATGTGTTCTCCGGTCACAAAAACAAGAGCTGTTGTACAATTTCATAAAGAATAACAGGAATATCCGTGTAGAGTCGTCCAGGTCATGGGAATCCAAGGCGATTGGAAAGAAAGCAACTGGACTTCTTTAAAATTCTTGAAGATGTTAAATCTCTCATCCAAGAAGATTCACTAGTTCTAATTTGCTCAATGTATGTCTTAGAACAGTGGGAACGATTTCCTGAAATGTTCTTTATGGCAGTGAGGTTGAATCAGTTTTGCAGCTTATCTGCAGATAAATCAGCATCAATAAACACAGCTAAGCATATATTCAGGCAACACATCAGTGCAACCGCTAATTTGCTTCTCTCTTACAAAAAGTGGCTTGAAGTGGCTTATGTGCCTTACTGAATAATGGAACGTAATCTCCTGTCCATCATTCTTACAGTGGCCTTAAAACATCTAGTGCATGGTTCATGTACCCGAGCCCACCTGGACTTAACAACATTGTGTCAGTATCTAAATATGAATATAATGAGTAATAAAGTAGAAAACACCAAACACCTGTTTACTGGTTTTTATTGAGTTTTATATATTTTACCCCCAGCTGCCTCCAAAAAACAGTTATTACTAGGCCCAAATAAACCAGTTTAAGTATAAAAGTATGAAAAATACACAATTCTAGTTAGATCTGTGCATGGTGGGATGCTAAGAGGTTGAAGGTGGATACGGTTTTCTGTACTTGCTCTGCATCCACACCCGGCGCATTACTACTTTCTTTCCTCGGTTCACTTGCAGTCGTCTATCCTCTAGATTCTGAATTTCTTCCAGTCCAGCTTTGGAAAACAAATCATGAACCTCCTCTGTAAAACATAAAACACAACAGTCAGGAACCAAAATTTTAGTCCAGGTTCTCTTTCTGCCAAGAAAGCCATGACAACAGAAAACACGGTTTTGTGTGCATTACCGTGAAGCTGTTTTTTTATACATTAGTTTTCTTTTTTACGAATTTTGGAATTGAGTTTTATCTGAGATAATGCATATATTTAACCATTCACCAATAAATGTAAATTCCATCTTTGTAAACACCACAAACTTGTATTATAGCACTGATCAGAATAGGGGTGTCAACACCCACACCCATACGTAGAAATACCTTTTGTGAAAAAATAAACACAGGTTCCATCTCCGCGTGTGTAGAAATTTTCTGATAGACACCGTCCTGGTTGTCAGAGACGAAATGACAAAGAATTTGTTTAAAAAGGAGAATCTCACACACAGACAAAGATGTATTAAGAATATATAAGAAATTAGGGTAAAATGATACAACGGGCATATCGGGAGGCTTACCTTTTTTAAAACGGAGTTGTGAGAAGTCGTATCTCCCATAATCACGGAAAAGGAGCACACCACCATGTTTCAGGTATGCAGACAGATGGTTCACAACGTCTTGCAAGCTGTCAATAAAATTTAGTTATCGGATAAATTATGTTATAATGCAGCAGGCTTGCAGCTAAGGTGATCCTTGCAGCCATCTGTAAAATATAGGCCAAGGAGAAATGCATTCACTGAGATACAACTGACTTCAGTCAGGAGTGCATTTGTATTAGCTTAACCCAAGTATATTACATGTGTTTCCCAAATTCATCTATACTTTTAGTGTCAAGCAAACCACAGAATATTCAATATCTTGCACTTAACTGTATGGTTTAATATTTCCATTTCAAACTGGGGTTTGTAATGACATTCAGACAAAGGCTGGGCAATGGGATGATTATGAAGGTTGTGGAGGGGGAGGGGCTGGCTGGCAGGTGATAAATGACATTAGGGTCTCCCATCTCTGTACTCTAAACCTCACCTACCGCTCTGGATGAATGGAAGAGAGCACAAATACTGCCAGAATAACATCCAGGCTCTGAGGAGGAAATGGGAAGGTGGCCATTTTGTCACAAATGTCACGGACGAAGGCGTGGCACACCGAGTCGTCATAGTCTGGGTGGTTCTACACAAGGAAAATAAGTTAGATTATATCTATTAAGCATGTCATTATCACATTGGTGTTGCAGCTCATGTACAGTTCTGAGACATTTTCTCATGAACCCTCTTATCGCCTTGAAGCAGTCTGGTCATTCTTGTCTGACAGCATCAAGAAGACATTTTCACCCAAATAACTGCCATTCAGTGGATGTTTTCTCCTTTTCAGACGACTCTCTGTAAACCCTAAAGATGATCCGTCCATTCATCCATCCTTCTTCTTGTCCAATTCAGGACTAGGATAGCCTGGAGCCTATCCTAGCTACTCTAAAGATGGTTGTGTGGGAAAATCCCAGTGTATCAGTTAACAAACAGTTAAATAGGTGTACATTACAAATTGGCTAGCAAGTGTGTAGGAATGCCGTCTTTTTTTTCATTACTAACATTGTTTTCTATATGTGAGATTTATTTAATGTGGAGATATGTAACAGTGATGTTTTTTTCTTCTGCTACATTTCTGCACATGATGTCATATTTATCTATTCTGTGTCTGTCTAGGTAGAAATTTATGATAAAGACATTTTATTTGTAGATAAAAAATCAGCTGTTGAAATTAAATTTCCCAAAATATTTAAGGGACGGCAATATTTTGTAGATGACTAAATTATTATTATAATACAGTATACACTTTATATTTTCATACGAAACAGATGCTAACCTTAACCAGCTGAATGGCACGTGGCGAGAAGTCACAACAGTATAAAAATGAGTCTGTTTCTCTGTGGAAGAAAACAAACAGTTTAACAACTGGGAATCATCACATTACAACCACAAGTACTTGTAAAATACTAACAAAGTGATTTTGTGGCTCAACACATATTTTTTACAAGTGTCTTAATTGTTTTTTCTAATGTAGGTGATAACACAACTACTTCACAGAGAAATTTCCACTGTGTTCTATGTGTATGCTCTGCTCTAAGTCAACCACAGAGATGACAATAGAGACAATCAAATACTAAACATCTGTATGATCATTCATTAAAGAGAAACATTTTGACTTACTTGATGTTATTTACAATAGGAAACACACTGTTACCAACTCCACATCCAACCTGTGAACAGAAGAAAATGCAAAGCAGTTATTTAACATTATCTGTGTTGCAATAATATAACATGCACATCCTGTATAAAAAATTAAAACAAAAACAGAGTATATTAACACTTTTAAAAACCTCCAGGATCCTGAAGGATGCACGTTGTCCAGGAAAAACAGAATCATCCACAGCAGCTTCATTCGTTCCTCGTGCAGCTTGTTGACAGGACTCCTGAAAGTTAAAGGTGTCTGTATTCCTGTGATGCTCAATGGGATTGCACCGTTGATGTTTTCCAGTTTCGGTGTCCAATCTGGATGCACTACATAGTTGAATGGCTGCTTGCTGATGACTGTGACACGTGTTTGTGCTCTGGCCTCTTTCACCTGAAGGCAGCAGCTCTGGGAATTCTAAAAACAGCCACCTGCGATCTTTGAAGAACTTGTCCTGGTGAATCTCATAAAACATGTCCCAGTACTGGCAAGCTGCTGTAACAAATTTACCTGCAAGGACAGAATTCAAGAACTTTTTCATCATTTTTGTTTCCATGTAATTCCCAAAAATCTAATTAAATGTGTTAAAATATTTTATTCTTGCCTTGTTCGTTTAAAGGAAGTCGTACAGTGGAATTTTCCTCCGCCTTTTGCCGTGCATTTTCCTTGTCCTCCTCTGTCCATTGCACATGATCCCTAACATGAAAAACATTACTAAAGCAACTCCTGGATGTTAATATATCAATTTAACTATAATGACTCACAATTTAATTTGTTATAATTAGCTTTAATGTCATGAAATCCTGTGACCTATATTTTAGATTGTATATTATTATATATTATAGTATATTATTAGTATACTGGTGGTGGTCAGAGGGCCCGGTAGCACCAGTGTCCGGCAGCCTCGCCTCTGTCATGCGCCCCAGGGCAGCTGTGGCTACAATGTTTTTTGCCATCACCAGTGTGTGAATGTGTGTATGAATGACTGAATGTAGTGTGAAGCGCTTTGGGGTCCTTAGGGACTAAGTAAAGCGCTATACAAATGCAGGCCATTTACCATTATATATAACACATATACAATATACAAGCTACATGGTGTCTTCTTATTATGTGGAATAATAAATGCAACTTTTACACATATTCATTAAAGTCGCATCACTTACCACATGTTGTGCTTGAAGATGTCATCAGGACTGGTCAGAATCCGTGAACCCAGTGGAGCTGAAGGTCTACTGTCACTGCTCTTTAACCTCATAGAGAATCTGATGAAAACTGCAGCCACTTTGGCTACAGAGAACCTCTTCACTTTATTCATTTACTCTGTAAAAGTGCACATAGGTTTAAATACATACAACAATCCCTGGTCAGTACATCGCTGCCTAAAAAGACTAGTGGAAGCAATATCTATGTCATGCAGGGGAGGGATACTAGCATCGAAGGACGCTGAAGATGGAGCTGACACAAAGGAAGACCACAAAGAAGACTGATAAATGTAGTGAAGGAGGAAATGCACAGGGTTGCTATTACAGAAGAGAATACTAAGGATAGGGTGAGATGGAGACAAATGAGCTGCTGTGGTGACCCCTAAAGACACCATCCAAATGTCTATTTAATGTTAAGACATACATGTAAATAAAATAACAGAATACGATAAACTCTTCTTTTGCCCTGAAAGCTGGGAAATGTCCTGAAAATAGAAAATGCATGCATTTTGGGGTTTTTTAAAAATCCCCAAAGCTAACTAAACTACAATGAGCTCAAAGTAGTAGAATAGTAAAAGAAAACAAAAGTCAAGAATACATAAACGTTTAAATACAATGCAACGAAATCCTTAAAAAAGAACCTAGTATAATACGTTAGCGTGACTCTTTAAAGTACATTAGCTCAAATTTAATACAGGAAAAACAAAACAGAAATAAAATAAATAAATGATTACCGTAAATACACATACACACAGACAAATATGTTTAGCTAACACCGCGCAAATGCTTAAAAAAAGCTATATAGTTTGAATAATAATTCCTAAAATATAGAATCGGACTATTACTGCAAATAAAAACGGAAACTAAAGGATGCAGCTGATTTTTAAGTGTATCTCTGGTCAGGGTACGTGCAGACGAATGGGTGCGCTACAGCGGGACAGCGAGAGCGCTATTGTGCCGTAGAAGAAGACGCGTGTGAAAACATGGAGAGGGATGGGGTGCTAATAGAGTTAGCGGCTAACTAACAACACAACCCCAGTCGACAGGCGAAAGCAATGCTCGCCAACTTAACCCTAACAATTATATTTAACCCTCCATGCAACCTCCGAGCAGTTCCTCTGGGTCATATAGCAAACAAAACTTTTGGACGAAGTTGGCGACATGTCGAGGTTCCTTAGCTCACGCTAACCTAAGCTAGCTGTTAACTTTTCATGTTAGTCATTGGACGTGTGAGGTCGCGACGGCGTTGAAAACATGAAGCCTAGAAAACAGCTGTAGCGTGCTGGACTACAAAACCATACGGTGCTTACCTCGCTCTGGGTGGGCTGTTGTGGTCACTTCAGTCAGTCGATCTAGTCATGCTGCTAGCAGCCCCCAGTAGGAAAACGTACCACCTGCAGATGGCGCCACAGCAGAGAAAGGGGAGCGCTAACGCAGCTGAACTGCTGAGCCGGAGGAGCACAGGTCTTGGAAATACTGGGACTTTAATCAGACATAATTTGAAGATCCTGAGAGGTATTCTCCTTCAGGTAATGTTACAGTTTGTAGTGTTACTGCTTTCAGTTGGTGTTTTCCCATATTAATTATTGTTGCCATATTGTAGGAAAACCGGACTTTCACGAAAGTATGGAGCAAGACCTCAAAATCCACAGTAATGTACGAAAATTGCAAACTATACTTTGAAAACTACCAGCACTGCTACAGCTGGTGAGTATGGGGTCCTAACTTTAATTAGCTTCAGTTTTTAAACACGTATACATGCCAAAATATATACACAGGACTATTTTGGTACGTTAAAGTAATCCTCCACTGGTCATATACACTATTAAAAATGAGTTGTTAAAAATCTACCTATACAAAATATATTTTTTAATATGAAGTGTTCATATTACACTGGCCTGTAATATAAATTTATTTGGCACCCACTTAAGAGATATAGCCAGAGCCAAATGAAAATCATCACCTCTTTAATCACTTATGTAATGGATATATAATGTTTTAAAGCTTTTACTTGAGTGTATTAAATATTATTGTCTGTAGTGAGAGTAGGGATCAGGTGAAAGAGCCTGGAAAGGTTGAGGTATGCTCTGGAGAGAAGAGGAATGCAAATCAGAATACATGCGTGTGAATGAAAGGGAGATGGGTGTAACAGCGTAGCAAGTTGATGAGTTTTTAAAAAAAAAAATGCGGAAAACTATTTAAAGCAGTGGAAGATATTGAATATTTTTTGTCTTATCTTATCTGGCAGGGAAAAGTATAGATGTCTGATGAATAATGTGAAAACAGGTGGGCCATGATATTTAATGTATCATGGCCCACCTGTTTTAAATTAAAATAAAACCCATTGTGTCATTTTAACTTCGTCAGAAATTGTTGCTTTTGCGAAACAGTGATGTAGGATACAGAGGAGCAGATGATCTAAGGAGCTTTAACTGAAGTAGGAAAGTGTTGTGTATGCCCAATAACACTGACAAGCTGCTTATGTTTTATATTTTGTATATGTGTTTCAGTGTTCATGTTGAGCCTCAGATTTTGTACAAACTGCCAACGAGGTCCAAACAGGAGAAAATTGAAGATACGTTGATGTGTCACAGCCCAGTTGTAAGTAAACATTAATAAACTGGGTGTTGCTCAGATAGAAAATTTCAGACTGTTGTGTTACCTCTTTTTTTTTTTTTTTTGTTCTCATCCAAAGGAAAAATCCTTATCTTCTCCATCTGATCATAAACCAAGCCTCTTGGCTTTGACGGCCAATAACTGGCTAATTCGCCTTTCAGCTGAAACAGGAGAAGAACTGCAGAGAGTTTACCTCTCTCCAAACTATAAGTTCAGGTATCTCTACGGTTCTGATTTCAGTGTCCTTTGAGTGGAAAGTATTTTTAGATTTGGTTAATTTTAAAGCCATTTTAGTTTTATAGCTTGTTGTTATCTTGTAGATATCTTGGCTGGGATGTTTCTCAAGAGACATTTTATGTTAAATCTGTTCAAAACAAGGAAACACCTTTAGCCAGACAGGTAAAGTGAATACATGTATTTAAAGTATTTGTGTCTTGCAAGAGAAAGTCAATAATAAGTTAATGTTATATTTAAATTAAACATAGCTGTCACTAGCTATACGTGACTCTTGTTATCATTTCATTTTTTTTATATTCTTTATATTTAAGGATTATTCTTTTTTCATCTTGTGGTTGTTGGTTTCAAATCAGAAGGTTGTTGTTGTTATTATTACTATTATTATATTAGTAGTAGTAGTAATTTATTGTTTGTGCAACTAGAAAGTTTATTAATTATTTATTTTTCTGTAAGTCCTATAAAAATGAAGAGAGGAGATGGAGACGTGACCTTTTTTCTGATTTATCCCACAGGCAGGTATCACTCAGAATACAGTGATGCACATCGCTATTTTTCACGTTTTCCCATTGGAAGTTATTGGTGTTATGGAGATCAATAAAAAAGTAAGTTTTTTGTTTGTTTGCTTGTTTTTTAAATACAGTTTACATTTTTTCAAATGTACATTTTCTTGGAGGTTTTTTCATTTAAAGGTTTTTTGTTTTGTTTTTCTTGTAGGTGTTTGGAAATGGTGTCATAGGTGCTGATCTGGTTCAAGGTGTCCTTGCACTGTATTACAGCAATAAGTCAGTGAAAATGTACAGCTTCGAGCACATTGTCCAAAGAGTAAGTCTGTGTTTATTTAGACATTAGTGAATGCATCAGAATTTGCATCAGGGGCGATCGTGGCTCAAGAGTGGGGAGTTCGCCTTGTAATCGGAAGGTTGCTGATTCGAGCCCCGGCTTGGATAGTCTCGGTCGTTGTGTCCTTGGGCAAGACACTTCACCCTTTGCCTACTGCCTACGCTTTGGGGTCCTTTAGGACTAGTAAAGCGCTTTACAAATACAGGCCATTTACCAATTTGATGTGATTTTTTTTAATAGAAAGTGTTTTATTATCATTCTGCTTAGCTTGCTTCTTACGTCTTTGGGATGTAAGAACATGATGAACATTTTCTTTGTTTTCAGTACCTGACAGAGAAGCTAACACTTGGAAAGCAGAGTCCTCTTCTTGGTGGCAAAACAGTCGGAGATGCACCGTTTGGTATCCCGTTAAATATTCAAATCACAGGTTGTTGTTTTTTTTTTTTTAAGAACCAGTGGTATATGTGCTTAAAGTTGAGTACATGCATAGCTTCAAATAACTAATAAAGCCATTTTTGTGAGGCAGCTAATACGAAGAAAGTTGTCTTAAATCAAGCTGTAAGGGACCTGAAATGACTTCTTCAAGGCTGTGAACTGTGAATCATGTAAAATATGGTGCTTGATATGAACATGATATTAAACATATTTGGTTCTGTTTATTAACATCCCTATTTGCCGCAGCAGCTTTCTTCTGCTGCTGTTCCAGGGGTCACAGAGTGATAGCCACTCTAATCAAGAATGTTTTGCTTCACAAAGCGAGTATAATGTTTGTTTTTCCTTTCTCATTGCACAGATTGCCCTCCTGTACTTTTCAAGGTCTCTTGTGCTGAAAACAGTGTTCAGATTGGAGGAAACCCATGGCACTACATTTACACACCGCCTCGTAAAAAAGACGAGGGGACCTACCACATCTGCTCACTCAAGGACGGCACTATGGTATATTTAAAAATTCCTCATCAACTATAAATTTACCTCATTATTACCTTTTAGTTATGGTTGTACTTTGAGTAAAACATGACAGTAATAAGTCAGTTTGTGGTAGAATGAGCTGTTGCTAAATTTGTCAGACCCTGGTGAGTTGTCATTGTAAGAAGGGCTCCAAATGTTTTTGACAGTCTTCCTATTCAGTCAGTGGACAGAGCAGGAGCGAACTAAACCTGTAATCACCTCACAATACTACCTTTGTGCTGATCTCGAAACTCTGCCTTCTCTCCCATTGAGAAGCCATGACATTGTATCAGATTATTTTCACATAATCTCTCCACTGAGTTGTTCATGTGGAAAATACCACACATACTTAAATAGAAAACAGGAGAATCAAAGGGGGTATAACACTCTTTATACAGGGAGTGCAGAATTATTAGGCAAATGAGTATTTTGTCCACATCATCCTCTTCATGCATGTTGTCCTACTCCAAGCTGTATAGGCTCGAAAGCCTACTACCAATTAAGCATATTAGGTGATGTGCATCTCTGTAATGAGAAGGGGTGTGGTCTAATGACATCAACACCCTATATCAGGTGTGCATAATTATTAGGCAACGTCCTTTCCTTTGGCAAAATGGGTCAAAAGAAGGACTTGACAGGCTCAGAAAAGTCAAAAATAGTGAGATATCTTGCAGAGGGATGCAGCAGTCTCAAAATTGCAAAGCTTCTGAAGCGTGATCATCGAACAATCAAGCGTTTCATTCAAAATAGTCAACAGGGTCGCAAGAAGCGTGTGGAAAAACCAAGGCACAAAATAACTGCCCATGAACTGAGAAAAGTCAAGCGTGCAGCTGCCAAGATGCCACTTGCCACCAGTTTGGCCATATTTCAGAGCTGCAACATCACTGGAGTGCCCAAAAGCACAAGGTGTGCAATACTCAGAGACATGGCCAAGGTAAGAAAGGCTGAAAGACGACCACCACTGAACAAGACACACAAGCTGAAACGTCAAGACTGGGCCAAGAAATATCTCAAGACTGGTTTTTCTAAGGTTTTATGGACTGATGAAATGAGAGTGAGTCTTGATGGGCCAGATGGATGGGCCCGTGGCTGGATTGGTAAAGGGCAGAGAGCTCCAGTCCGACTCAGACGCCAGCAAGGTGGAGGTGGAGTACTGGTTTGGGCTGGTATCATCAAAGATGAGCTTGTGGGGCCTTTTCGGGTTGAGGATGGAGTCAAGCTCAACTCCCAGTCCTACTGCCAGTTTCTGGAAGACACCTTCTTCAAGCAGTGGTACAGGAAGAAGTCTGCATCCTTCAAGAAAAACATGATTTTCATGCAGGACAATGCTCCATCACACGCGTCCAAGTACTCCACAGCGTGGCTGGCAAGAAAGGGTATAAAAGAAGAAAAACTAATGACATGGCCACCTTGTTCACCTGATCTGAACCCCATTGAGAACCTGTGGTCCATCATCAAATGTGAGATTTACAAGGAGGGAAAACAGTACACCTCTCTGAACAGTGTCTGGGAGGCTGTGGTTGCTGCTGCACGCAATGTTGATGGTGAACAGATCAAAACACTGACAGAATCCATGGATGGCAGGCTTTTGAGTGTCCTTGCAAAGAAAGGTGGCTATATTGGTCGCTGATTTGTTTTTGTTTTGTTTTTGAATGTCAGAAATGTATATTTGTGAATGTGGAGATGTTATATTGGTTTCACTGGTAAAAATAAATAATTGAAATGGGTATATATTTGTTTTTTGTTAAGTTGCCTAATAATTATGCACAGTAATAGTCACCTGCACACACAGATATCCCCCTAAAATAGCTAAAACTAAAAACAAACTAAAAACTACTTCCAAAAACATTCAGCTTTGATATTAATGAGTTTTTTGGGTTCATTGAGAACATGGTTGTTGTTCAATAATAAAATTATTCCTCAAAAATACAACTTGCCTAATAATTCTGCACTCCCTGTACTATGAAGTGGAATGGATATCAGATTGTCAGTTGGTAAAGATAAGGGAGGTTTCCAGTTCCAGTTCAGCCTCCAAAATGTAGTTTAGGCTACGTCCATACGTATAATGGTATCTTTGAAAACAGAGATTTTCTTCTTCTTCTTTTTTTAATCCTGTCACACGTGCAGTTTTAAAAAATATCTCCCTTCACATGGAAACTCTAAAAGCCAAATGTTAGCCAATCAGAAATTTAGAAGCCTGGGAGGGAAAGACTAAACAGGGTTTTGTAACCTCACAAAACCTTAAGTAGTTCTGAAAAGTTTTTGTTTGTCTGGAAAGGCAGATAATTTTGTGTTACTTTTCAAGTGACATTTTCAAGTGCCTTCATCATTTCAAATGTTAATAACTAAAGACAGTATTTTGGCTGTTCTGTAGACGGGGTTCGTATAGGTGCTTGGAATCCTTTAATTTTAATATAGACTTTTCAAGGTTTGAAAAGTGCTTGAATTTCAGATGTGGTGCTTAAATGTGCATGAAACTGTATTAATTTCACCACAAATAACTATCTGACCGAATAGTTTTCTTATCAGATAAAGAAATAAAATGAGTCTAAAAGCAAAATTTCTCCACCTGGACTGCCTTGCATACGGTGGCCCCTAGAGACAAAGCACGTACAAAATCCAAAACACTTACAAAATCCAAAACACATGAAAACTCCAAAGCACAAACAAGTGCTGTTTGGCCCCCAGGGGTTTTCTGAGTGAAAATTTTCTGCTCGAAAATTAAATGACCAAAAAACTGGAGTATTTCTCTGCAATTACAAACTCTGTGTAAACAGTATTGGTGTCAAATAAAATCAAAATAAAGCTAACACTTGTGAGATGTCATCAGAGATGTGAATAATACTGCGGATGTTACTATGTCAAAGTTACTGTGACTCAAACATAGAAAAATAGATTTTTTTATTTCCCTCACCTAATTTTTAAAAGTATTTTATAGCATATAACACGTTTGAAAATATGCTTTGGTTCACATTTAACTCCAGAAAATCATAAATCAAAATATGGATATTACCTGTCCACAGATTCATGGTGCAGTAACTGCTCTTTTAACTGTCTGGTGTCTTTGCTTTGTTTGGTGTTTGTAGACATGGTTTACATGAGTTTTTAGCTGAGATTCAGAGGTTTCTGTGGACACTACTCATGTCAGCACTTATATTTCTGACCTCGTGTTATAATCGATTAAACGTGGTCTCCTCCCTTTTGCCCCCATTTTTGATGTTGTGGGCGCAAATGATCAGGCGTGACATTCTCATAATAAATCAGAGAAGATACTGCAAATAATTAATCCTGCATTTGTGTGATTGAAATGTGTGTGCAGTGACACTGTTTTAAAGATTTGGCCTAAATAATTCTGGAGTGAATGAGCCTAAACATGATGACCGGACTAGTGACACCATATCACCTGTGACACTCACACACGCACGTATGACTTTGCCAGTTTCAGCTGAAACAATTTCAGTGTTTCAAACCATGTTCCAGAGTTTTTAGTTCACCGTTCATGAGGTTTCAAGAAGAAAATGAAAGACAGATCTGAATGTTTGAAAGTGTTTTGGAAAAACTCTGTAAAGAATAGATGAACAATACTCAAAGGATAAATTCAACTGTTTTATTTTGTTAGATAAGTTGAAAAAAAGTTAAACAAGCAAGTAAATAACGAAACAAGGTAAAACGAAGTAAGTTCAAAAAGTTAACAAGTAAATAACGAAACAAGGTTAAATGAGGTAAGAGCAAAAAGTTAACAAGTAAATAACGAAACAAGGTTAAATGAAGTAAGAGCAAAAAGTTAACAAGTAAATAACGAAACAAGGTTAAATGAGGTAAGAGCAAAAAGTTAACAAGTAAATAACGAAACAAGGTTAAATGAGGTAAGTTCAAAAAGTTAACAAGTAAATAACGAAACAAGGTTAAATGAGGTAAGAGCAAAAAGTTAACAAGTAAATAACGAAACAAGGTAGAGGAGAGAAAACCCCAACAATCCCCTCTGAGCACGCACTAGGCGACAGTGGGGAGGAAAAACTGCCTTAAAACGGGCAGAAACCTCCGGCAGAACCAGGCTCAGGAGGGGGCAGTCAACTGCCGGGACTGGTTGGGGGGTGAACAGAGGTGGAGCAAGACGAGGCTACATCAGTTGAAGAAGCAGTATTGTCCCTCTACCGGAAAAAGCTGAAGAATCTTTTCTTCTTTTTCATGGACTTTTCCACGAGCGCCTTTTTGTCCAGGATGAGGGTTCTCAACTCATCGATGGTTTCTGTGTTTTGCCTCTCTAGTTTCTTGCATGTTTGTTCCACCTGTTCTAATGTTGCTTGTGTTTCTTCAAGCTTTTCTTTGAGGTCTTTGGATGTTGCCTCCTGTGTCAGCTTTGCCTTCTGCAGGTCTGCATTTCTCACTTGATCTTCTTTGTGCAGGCCTTCTAGCTGCTCATTTCTTTTCTGGATATCGCGGAGCGTACACTGCAGGTCCTCATGCGTTTTGTCTTGTTTTTGCTTTTGGGCCTGCATTTCTGTGTTTTCCCGCTTCAAGTTGTTGAATTCCAACAATATCCCCTTAATGAGCTCTGAGTTGTTTTTGGCCATGTGATCAATCTTTTTCTGCATGTGTGAGCATCGTTTTTCTAGTGTTTCCTTTTCTCCCTCCAGCTCACTTGTTTTGACCTTCAGTTCATCACAGAATCCTTGCAACTTTTGATTTTTACTCTCAAAGTCCTTGATAATGCACTTTTCTTCTGGCAGTCTGTCTTTCTGTTGCTCTTTCTCTTGAAGGAGGTCTTTATTTTGGACCAATGTTTGTTCCAACTCTGCCTTCACCATTCTGTACTTTTCCTGCATGCCTTGGAGCTCGCGCTGCAGGTCTTTTTGCTTTGTGTCCTGTTGTTCCTTCTGTTGGAGGACTTCTTTATTTTTTTCTTCAGCTTCATCAAGCTTTCTTTGGAGCAGGTGATTCATTTGGTCCATGTATTGCAGATCCCACTCCATTTTATCAATCGTGGCTTTCCTGCCTTGAAGCTGCTCGGACATTTCTTTAACTTCAGCGCTCTTTTTCTTGTTTTCTTTGATGAGGGATACAATCTGCTCTCTGGCTTGAGCAAACTTGATCCCCCAGCCCTCATTAATAATGTTGATGTCGGGCTGGCGCTGTAGTGTTTCTTCCAGGTGTTTGTTTTGTGCTTCCATCTGTAAGCACTTCTTCTCCAGGTGACGTTTTTCTTCTTCAATTTGTCGAATTTTGTTCTGGAGATGGTTGTTTTCATTCCTACTCTCCTGTAATGCCCTTTGGATGGATAAGAGGCCATTTGGAGAAATTGGCCGGCCACGCGTGGAAGGAGAGGCGGCGAAATCTTTTTGTCTCGGTTGCCGTAATCTTGGATACATGTTGGCGTTTGTATCCGATGACTCTGAGAGGTTTCCAAATTTTTCTGTAGTGAACGTTTGAAGGCTGCAAACACAAAGGCTGCGAAGAAACGAACTGAAAATTGCCGTTTCTCACCCCTATTTATAGAAAAACTTCAAAGGATACTTGTGACATCCTTGTGACATCCTTGTGACATCCTTGTGACATCATCACTCCTAAGCCAATCAGATTGTCACATGACATTTTGGAATGTGGAATGGGGATATGTTTTTTTTTAAACAGTTTTCAAATGTAACTTAATATTTAAGTGTTTCTTACTTGACCCGCTTAGTCGATTAAAAAGTTAATTGCCACGAACACCCCTAATGTTATATAACAGACCACAGAAAAAAGACAGGTTTTTTTCTACGTGACAGAGCTATAATAAATGTTTTGTTTTTTTTAATTATCCTACTTTTTCTAAAAGGGAACATTATTTAAAGAATATGTATTTAATTAAAAACTCTGTATTCATCTAAAGGGTATACCAAGAAGGGTGAGCTTCCTGCTTGAAAAGGAAATGACCAAAATAAATGTATTTCTCTGCAATTACAAACTCTGTGTAAACAGTCTTGGTGTCAAAATAAAGCTAACACTGGTGAGATGTCATCAGAGCTGTAAATATTACTGCAGATGTTACTATGTCAAAGTTACTGTGACTCAAACATAGAAAAAATGATTTTT